CACCTGCCTAGAATCCCCCAGTGAGGGGCTGGGGTGTGGTTCAGTGGTAGAGCGCCTGCCTAGAATCCCCCAGTGAGGGGCTGGGGTGTGACTCAGTGGTAGAGCACCTGCCTAGAATCCCCCAGTGAGGGGCTGGGGTGTGGCTCAGTGGTAGAGCACCTGCCTAGAATCCCCCAGTGAGGGGCTGGGGTGTGGCTCAGTGGTAGAGCACCTGCCTAGTATGTGTGAGGCCCTGGGTTCATCCCCCCAGGATGGCAATAAATAAAAAGAAAAAAGAAAGATCTGGAAGTATTCTGCTGCTCCTAAGACACGCAGAGCCCTGTAGATCCATTCTAAGCTCTGTCGTCCAACTCCTAATCCTCCTGCGTCAGCCTTCTGTGTGCTGGAATCGTAGACCTGGGCCGCCATCCCTGGTGTCCTTTCTATATAGACTGTCCCTGGAGGTCTAGGCTTTGCTGCCGGGTGGCCGAAGGGTGCTGTCATTTGTAGCCAACACAGTTGCTCTTATCAATGCCTGCTTGTCCTCGTTGAAGAAACGGTTGCTTGCCAGCTCACTCCGGGCTCATGGTTACCTGGTTCTCACACACAGACCAGGACCACCTGCCGTGGGCTGGAGCCTCCTACATCCATTAACCATGAAGACAACCCCCACCCCCCCACAGACATGCCCCCAGGCCAATCGGATCTAGGCAGTTTCTCAGCTGAGACTGGCTTGTCAGGTGACTCAAGGTTGTGTTAAGTTGACAATTAAAGCTAATGAGGACACCAGGCTCATGCTGGCTTCAGGCTGTTTACTGTGGTCGTGGTGTATTGTGTGTGTGTTGGGGGAGGGGATTAATTAGACGGCTGACAGGTCACTGTCTAGTCACTAGTGTTAGTCACTAGTTCACGTGCGTGTGCGTGCGTGCGTGCGTGCGTGCGTGCGTGTGTGTGTGTGTGTGTGTGTGTTTGTGCCCCTGTCCCCACACAAGGTCCACAGAAGGACATCAGGTGTCCTCCTCTCTCATTCTCCCACCTTATTCCCTTGAGACAGGGTCTCTCACTGAACCTGGATCTAGGCTGGGTGCCCGCAATCCCCCACGATCCTCTTGACTCTGACACCCCACTCCAATAGTGCCGGGGTTGCAGCAGCAGGCAGCCAGACCTGGCTGTTAGGTGTCGTTTCCAACCTTCTATCAAAGCGTGCGAACAGCAGGGTCACAGAGGTATCGATCGACCCAAGCTCAGACAAGTTAGGTAACTGCCCCAAGGTCACCAGTTTGCTGGTGATCCATAGCCCCACAAGAGCCCTGGGCACATGATTTGCTCCCCTCTTTCTCCTCTCCCAGCGAACCCCAGGATTCATCTCTGGGGTCACACACCTGCCCCTTATCCCACGTCCCCCAAGGACACAGGCCCCAAGTCTACTTCCTTGGCTGTCTCCAAACGCGTGACGGGCTTGGCTGGAACTTTATCAGAGAAAGTGAAGTTCCAGCCACGGCCAGCAGGTGGCAGACACGCCCCACTAATGGTGACTCCTGGGTTTCCCGCCTCCCTGACCTGGGGAACTCGGCAGCAACACGCACTTATTCAGAACACACCCCCGCCCCACCCGCTAAGCCCAACTCTTCCTCACAGACCAGAGTCAAATGCAATTTAAATGCTGAGCTACATGCACGGCCCTCAGTCGACTTAACTGTGAGACGAAGTTCTACAGTCGCCAGACTACCCTTGAAATTTTGATCCTCCTGCCTCAGCTTCTTATGCGCTGGGATAACTGGACCTGTGCCACGTTCCTCTCAGGTTCCTCTCTAGAACCTTTCAAGAGGGGAGTGGTCAAGGGGGAGGCCCGACCTTGCAGACCCTTCAGAGCAACTTGGGCTCAGTTGCCACACGTGCTGGATCTTAAGCGAGAAGAGAGCAGGAAGGAGGGATCTGAAGTGAGAAAATAACCTGCAGCCTGACTCTGTGGCCGGGAGCAGGAGCCTATGCCTCTCTGCTGCTCAGTTTACCTGTGTGTAAAGGGGAGGAAAACACAGTTATAGGAATCACAGACAGGGAAAGGCAGCTTGTCAACTCTAATAACCAGTACACCCAGGTGGCTGGGGTGTGGCTCAGTGATAGAGCACCTGCCTAGAATCCCCCAGTGAGGGACTGGGGTGTGGCTCAGTGGTAGAGCCCCTGCCTAGAATCCCCCAGTGAGGGGCTGGGGTGTGGCTCAGAGGTAGAGCCCCTGCCTAGAATCCCCCAGTGAGGGGCTGGGGTGTGGCTCAGTGGTAGAGCACCTGCCTAGAATCCCCCAGTGAGGGGCTGGGGT